CATAAACATGACACTACCCCCGGGGTTTACACAGACGAGCCGGCGAAGCAAGAAGAGCGCCAGAAGAAAGGGCCCTAGCCGGCGGGGCCCAGCCAGGACAAAAGGAGGTCCCACAAAGCGCCTACACCGGCCGCATTTGCGGTCGGGGTAGACGACGGATGGGGCCCACCTACGAAGGCTGTCCAGGCCTACACGAGATGAGGCAGGATAAAGAGGGATAATCCCCCTCGATCCCAAATCATTGAGGCCAATTTCAAGCCATAGAATAATGGCGGCGAATAATGGCGGTCTTGAGTTACTGAGATTTATTGCTCTATTCTCATTACCATTTTATCGGGGACCACATGCAGGCGGAAGGTGTTGAGCGACCCAGGTCTCTGGCAGGCTGCCACAGCCACGTCCCGAGCCTGTCTTAGGTCACCCATCCAAGTTCCAGCCTGCCTCCGTGATGCTTACCTCGGTCGAATGAAATCCATCGGCTAAGACACCCGGCTAGACGGTCCCCCAATCCCAGGAGCATATAGCTACACTTCCGTGTCCAAATATTTGTCCTCGATTTCTTTACTTAACGATTTTATGATAGAGCGTGCCGCCTTTGCTGCATCTGACAAAGAGCGCTCGCCGTGTTCAATGTGCTTAGCGTAGGTTTCCAGGCAAAAATTGTAAGACTGCCAATACATCCAGTACCTTCATAATCCATAGTATGCTTGTTAAGCCTTCATTAAAGTTACACACTGCTATATTTACGGCTATATCTAAGACTGTTTTGCCACTTGAATAGGACTTTGGAGCTAAATTCCAAACAGTAGCATTGAAGTTTTCGTTACTGTTTTGTGTGTAGCCACCTAAGCAACGGTTCAGCAACTCATCTCGGCTTAGTTCCTCATAAATTGGCTTGATGGCTGCGTAAACGTCTTTCAATAATGATGGTTTATGATGGAAAGTATCTAACGATCCCACTGCTTTCGCCTCCTTCCATTCGCACCAAGATTCTGAGCAGTTGTCGTGCTGAGGGTTGTCGGTTGAAAGTTTGTGAAACGTTGCCCATATATTTTGTTTTCATGTTTTCAATAGATTTTGGATTCCGACGTAACCATAATAAACAGTTAATTGGTCGATTAATTTGCCTGTTAATTTACCTTTTCCACCTTTTGTTTTTTTTTTAGGTTTCTCAACCGTGTGCCCATCCTTTTCTGGACAAGGTCGATGCACTTTTTTTTTTCTCTTCAAAATTTTCATATGAATGACTGTCAACGACGCCCTTAAATGTTTTGCTGTCTCCATCGCCGATGTAATTGGCGTATTTGATTCCGTATATAAGCATTCGGAGCAAGCAAACATCTCCATCACGCCATCCACCTCCATCTTACGGGAGGAGCCTTCGTGGGTTGCTTGGCAATGATCTGCGTGCGTTTCCTGCCATTCATTTTCAATGGTCCTTACTTTATTCTTACAATGTTCGCAAGACTTACAATACTTCGATTTCACTTCAACATCGACGATCTTGCCTGTAAACCATCCAATTAATGATGTTATGCCGAAAAGGGAAGAAAATCTTCGTTTTCTTCAAGAGCCGTCATGTCACCGGAAACAGTCATCCCTTCTCGTTGTTCGTTTTCTTAACTTTTACTTTACTTTTCTTGAACGGCTTTCTTCATAGAAGCACCTCGAACACTTGTGGATGCGATCATAATCAGGGCCCGAGAACTTATACTTGAAAATATGGGGAAACTGGGAACCACGTGACTTGAGATGGATATAGAAGTTGGGGAAAGAGTCTATAGATGTCGCCACAAAGATTTTGTAGAATAAATTTTGACAATTGCAATTATGAATCATTTCATGTTTATTGTTTATTGTTGGTTAGGTTTGGCGAGTGTTGGTGTGTGTTTTATTTGTGTTTTTAGTGTGTTTTATTAGATATTTCATTCACATTTATTTATATAACATAATAATGTCTGATCATCATATGATCACATTTTTTTATTAATAATAAAATGTTTTGTTTTTTTGTTTTTATTTTAATAAAAAATGTGATGAGAGGTAGGTAGTTTTTTTTATGGATATCAACACAACGAAAAATTTAAAGTTGCATAATAAATCTCTATTACAAGAATTAATCAAAGATTGGTTTAGTAAAATTATTTACTTGTAATATTTTTTTATTCACCGTGAAAGCTAATACAATATAGAAAGCACTGAAACTCTATAATCATTTTCACTCTTTTTTTTTCAAAATATGTACTGAAATTTGAATTTTTTTCAACAAACATTTTAAAAAGTTACAGTATCAAAATTATTTCTTATTTTACGTAGACTATTAGAGCATTTAAAAGTGTCTTTAATGCTTGAGTGATTTTAATGCTTTTTATCAAATGTACTTATTTTCTCATGGTGACAAAAAAATTATCTACATGAAAATTATTTTACAAAATCAATTTCTGAGTGATCTGTGTAGGGTGAGATTTGTTATGTAATTTTAAATTTAGCGGCGTCAGAATATCTAAAACAAATATTGAGTAGGTAGGTATATAGTTGTAGAGCGTACAACTAGATGGCGCTTGCATCTTTTACCGGCTACAGGTAATTTAACTCACTGTATTACCGATAATTCCTAGAAAATTAAAGCAATAGAAGTTGGAGAAAGTGTCAACAGTTAGCGCTGTTAATGACTACGAAATCTGTTCAAGTTTCCTATCTATTGTATCATTTATCTAGGATCATAATCATACGTACCATATTGTCGCAGAACGATTGAAAAATAGGACGTGGTAACTCCATGAATGCACAGAACTCAATTACACCCATCAGTCCAACTCCGAGTAATGTCGTCGCTAGCACGATCCTACGATTGATTTCATAAACATTCCTTAAATTTACTACTCGGAATTTCAACGTCTAGGCAGTTTGGACAAGCGATTACTATTTTGAAGCATAAGCCACGCGGACTTCGTTCTTGAAAGGTTATGTCTGAATCACACGTTCTGTTTAAGTATACCGACAAAAAGTCGAATTTTACGATAGGGACGTTGGTTGTCAGATGGCAACATCAGGATCGTCCATTCTCGAAATATAAAAGGCAACACTCGTATTAATGACGTAACAATGCAAGAGTAAAGATATATTTTATAACATTTTGATTTGCTATAATATGACAGCAATTGTTAACGGCAGTAAGGTAGTACCAGTAAAAGTGAATTCTAGTATGAGGGAAGTAACACTAAAATAATTGCTATTTCAGGTAAAAAAAAGTCAGCAATGTATTTCTTCCTATGCATTTTCTCAGTTTATTAACATTATGGAGTGTGTTATTCGAATAAGAAATTATTGATGCATTAGGTTTATGGTATAAGAAAAATCACAGACCAGTGTTGTCTAATAAATAGCTAGTAATTAATAATATTCTAGAATGAAGTTTAAAAATGATAAGTCCAAATATCAATACAAAAAAACACGTATAGTGTTTCCGATGTCAATTGAAGAGCCAAGAGGATGACAACATGTACTGGGTTCGGTCGCTGACGCAACAAATCGGCACTTAAATATTTGAAAAACTTGTTCCCATGTTTATTTAGCCCTACCCATATACAGATCTGGTCGAACTAAACGTGGAGATAGTAGAATTGTATACGCCCAGTTGAAGAATGCGAGCGCGGGCTAACGAAATAGAAATACAGCTACATTGGGCTACTGGGCAATAAATCTCAGCCGTTGACAAGTGGTCGACAAATTGCCCAGCAGTGCAGTGCAGCAATGCAGAATTTGGTGTGATTCAGATAATTTTAATTTAGTAGGCTAGATAGCCACCTTCTATTAATCATTGATAGTACAATTGCGAAAGGGAGAAATAATATTATTACAACATGGCATTTTGGAGACCTTTTGAAACGGAACAAAACAAAATTTACCATCAATATAATAAAATTGTTTGAGGACATAAATAATTAAAATATTTTGTTGGCCAAATGAACGTATAATGGAAATTTTCTACACATTATATAGGAATTATTATAATTTTTTACCTTTAGCAGAAAACTTTTTTAGGGACGCCTATGAAACTCATTAAATTTTATTGCCAGGGTTTTTTTACATGTTCAACTACTTCGGAAAGACTACCTGACTGAAATTATTAAATAACGTAGGTACTAATATTTCAATTAAAAATTGTATATGTTTGTTGTTTTAACATCACTCTTGTCATAAAAATAGCCACACCACATTTTATTAGAATTGTTTCATCAGGTAGCCTTGTTGCAAATGGAATTAATAAATGTGTAAAAAATTTTGGTGCCGCCAATACGATTAATGTGTTTTTTTTTACGTAACCAAATTAGGTAGGCCTTTTTTTTACTAAATTTCTCTTGAAATTTATTTAGTTTATTAGCTCTCGTATTTTTACGTTATTAAGGTATTAAGTTATAGTTCAAATAAATCCAAAAATGTTTTCTATTTTGCTACAATGCTACGATACTGTATCAAAATTCAATCCTGACTTTTCCGGATTCTCTGAGGCACAAAGTTAACCTGGGCAGCTTTAGACAGCAACTTGGCGTACATCTCGAGTCTCTGAGTCATCTAAAATCAAAATAATAATTAACATTTTAAAAGGCATAGATAGTTCAGACATATATTGCAACAAATTATTCAATTAATTTAGGGGTATGTGTTCTCCTGAATACGAATCAAAGGTTCCCTTTTTGATCCAAATAAATAGTCGAGTTATGATTAGTTAAAAAATTCTATTGTTAAAAAAATGAAAATAAAAAGTTTTTTCATGAATTATTAAATACTAGCTTTTACCCGCGGCTTCGCTCGCATTGAAGCCATTAATTAATTTCGTGCAACTTTGGCGGCACGGGCCCGCGACGAATTTTTGGATAGATCAGATTTCCGCTTCCAAGACATTTTTAAAGAAGAACAGAGTAAGAATTAAATCACGAATTAACCACAAAAATGACACCTAACCTGAAACAATAAATATAGGAAATCTTTCGTAAAAAATATTTTTTTTATATATAAAAAGTATCCTATGTTACTCTTCTAATACCTCCAAGAATATGTGTACAAAGTTTCATGATGATCGGTTAAGTAGTTTTCGCGTGAAAGCGTAACAAACAAACTTACATTCACATTTATAATATTATAAATATAAATATAAATAAATAAATTAAAAGTAGGGATTAACAGCGAGGAAACAGATTGCTTTTCTATGACAATGACGTGTTATTAAAGTCACCATATTGTTTTTATGTCAATGTAGACGAATTAACTAACATGTAGTATGCGGACACGTTACTAATTGTAAATAAAAATATCACAGCCACACAAAAAAAAAATGTTTTTCGAGCCTGAAGGTCAGTCTATGACTTATATGTTTTTGGGGTCGTTGTATCCGAATACGTGATCCATTTAACCGGATTATGTCAGGTTTTATCAATAACCCCATATCACCTCTTAACCCAATCTGTCAAGTTACACACAACAGTCCTGCAAAGGAAGCTGTGCATCCACAATCCTATACATTCGACCTCAAACTTCCTAACCCCATAACCAGGGCCGGATTGGGAATTTTTTTCGGCCCGAGTTCGATTTTTTATATCGGCCCACTAGTGGCTTTGTAATGGCGCCGCAGGCGAAAATTTTCAAGGTCACGCTTTCTCCTGGCACCTTAGAATTTCAATAAAAAGTCCATTTGTACAAATATATAGACTTACACAAGGATAATTTTTGGAAAAAGCATTAGAGAGAGATCATTTATCGGATAAAAGCGGATTTTTAAGTAAACCCTGCCCACTAATAGCAAATAAAAACGAAAAAAAAAAACACTTAAAGAAATTATTAACGTGTTAATAAGCAGTTATGCCATAAAAATTTCAAGAAACAAACAAAGACTAAACTAAAAGAGACAACCTAAATACTAAATAAAGTTGATTCAATACAAAAATGCCTAGTACCTAACTAAAATAATAATAAATTTTTAAGGCTGGAACTTCTCTGAGCAACTTCATCAATAATTTCATTATTTTCTAAATCTATAAGAATATCCTTTTCTACAGACATAAATAGAAACGCCTCTAAGTGCTCTTGCGACAAGCAATTTCTTAATCTATTTAAAATATATTTTAATTTGGAGAACGTTGTCTCGCATCTGACTTGGGTGCATGAAAGTGTCAACAGATACTTATATACCCAATATAAGTTGGAGTATGCCAACGTATGTAGCCTATACTTTGTCAGCACCGAAAAACAGCAAATAACGCAGTTTGGGCAAGTTCTCGTGCATTCAATTTTTGAATTTTGACCTTGATTATTATTATATTATTTGATTATAATAAAAACTTAAAGAGTGGTATACACTGGAGCTAACCGGCCCCGGAGTGACCGGCCCACCGAGTTTTACTCGGTAACTCGCCGGCCCAATCCGGGCCTGCCCATAACCATATAATCCCATAACCCCTTAACTGATAACTCCAATAACAATGTTACTCAGTAGTTTGACTTGATCTCTCATCGCGAGATCCCTCTATAAACAGAATATATTTAACATTATAATCCCATAACTCTAATAAGCACATTACGCAGTAGTTGGATTGTTTGATGTAAGGAATATAGTCTAATATCGTTATTGGCTCCCGCAGTTTCATCATCTCCAGTAGATTCTCCGTCAATTTAAAAAACATCATGCCAAATGAAGTTTTATTTTACGTATACTAACCCAAGTCCCTGGATCATGGCTTTCATGCCGTCATCGTCATGGCAAGCTGAGGTGGAAGATGTAAGAAACAGAGATTCGGATGCCCAGAATCGGCGGCTGTTCAGGGTGCGAAAGCGAGTAAGCAGATTATTTTCTTTTTGTATTATTTATCATTTTTGACTACTGCTTGAGTTTTCTGCTAGGTTACTTGTCAAATACAGTTTTCTACATTATCTTATTTCAAAAAATTAAATTTTCGTTTACGTGGAATGATAGGATTCCTGGTGACCTACTCAACAAAAGTAACTCAAAGAGTAGTACCTCACTGCGTGTGATGTGACCATTTGCTTTTAAACTTTTCCTTTAAATATGAGATTTAACAACAATGCATAGCTCAGTTCCCAATTGTGCATGCGCACGCGACTAATGAGCGCCGTTGTTTGAGGTCACACGGCGGGGTATGACAATTATTGAAAAAGGTTAAAAAAATATGCTCTCAAGACGGAATTTGTAAAAATAAAATATTAATACGTGTTCCTAAAGGTCAAAGGTAGCCTCCGGATCAATATAACTGCCATTCAAAGTTACACCCCGTATTTAATATATTTATAATTATTTAAAAAATCCAAATAATATAAACAAAAACATTTAATTTTCTGTATGAAGAGATATTTAAATTTTAAAACAAAACAAATAAAAAATAAAACGCACCAACACAGGAATAAGTAACCATGTTTCGTCTTCCTATTGATTTTATTTTATTTTCCATATTTCAAAGTGCGGGAATATATAAAATAATACGATTTTCAATTTTCCTTTTTTTTTCAAAAATATAATATGAAAGTACTTTTTTATTATAACACATTTTATCAATTTGTAATTGTAATGCTGACATGACATAGCACGATTGCTGACATATCTGTTCCAATATTTCATTGTTAATTGTTCATTTCATTGTTGTTTCGTGGTTTATTTGTATATGTTGCTATTCTCTTTGTCAGTAATAACAACATGACGAACTGTCTTATTCATACAATTTTCGCCATTATCTAAATTTTTGATATTAAGTATATATAATTTTTTTAATTTCCTTAATTTCACCCGATTGATAGCATGCCTGCTGAAGTTAGCGTTAAGACTGAATTACGACTCCACTATAAGTACTACCGTTCACCATCTTTTCATTTTAAAGTAATGTTATACGAGCTAGCTCGGCTTGCTTCGTCGGTACATCAAGAAACTCTTAATCTTAGGACTGTAGGTTCACGCCCCACATTGGGCGCCAAATTATTCTAGAATATATTTTAAAGTAAAAGTTATAAGAGTAGGCTGAAATACTGATCTAAACAGGATAATAAAAATGCACCACTATACAAGTAGAAGAAAATAATCAAGTTAACATGTATTTAAATAAAATTACATGCCACGGCGACAATCAAATGGTTTTATATCTGAAAAACTGTGACATTGAAGTTATGTAAATAGGATGATAGCAAATTATCATATGTTTTTACTTCAATGTTGATCATGAACGGTGTCCACACATATTGTCATTGAAAGCAATGAACAAATTCAGTCAAATTAAAACACAATAGTGAGCAGCCTACAAAAAGTTGAAATTAGCCTGTGTAACACGATTTTCAGTTTTTCCTGGACGTATGCCATAACAAGAATTTTATAATACTTAGTAAAACAATAGTTAGCTTACTTGCAGTCCCCATTGGTCCTTAATTTGTCTGCATAAATTCAAGTCCATTTCTGCTATCAGTAAACCATTTGAAGTTCGAGAAAGTCCCTGAAAACATAGAAATATGTATAATTATTTACAATTAATTCTCAATTCAAATAAGTGGTGTCTAAAAATAAGTAAAAATGTTTCTTTGGATATAAAATTTTTTTTAATAACGAAGTGTAATAATAGCTTCACAACAAGAAACTAATACAATAAATTGGACCCCGCCCAAAACCAATAGAAAAAGACTTTTCGTCAAATTGCTTGGGATGTGTGTAGGTGTTATGATGTAGATCAAAAGTCCCCGTGGGCCCAACCTCCGCCTATGTACGGTTTCGGAGATACGTGAGCTGAAAGTCACTCAATATAGCCAAACTGCACTTAGCATTACCCAGGATCAACGGCGTGGTTGTGGCAGATGCTTGACTCCATGTGTGTGTGAGCGTACGTGCGAGCACGCGTGTGAGCGGGTGTGTGTAAATGTGAATGTATGTGTGTACGTGAGCGTATGTGTGCGAACGTGCGGTACGTCTTCGCTCGAGTATAATCAAAAATCGCCGTACTCAGCGATCCTCACTTTCAACGAAGATGAACTGATTTTCCGAGAATTATTAGGAATACTTCCATCAATAATTGCCGTCACGAGGATCTAGTATCTCAATGTTTTGCTTTTGATCATTCACTCTGGAATCGAGTATACTCATTAGAACTCGGAGTGAAGGATATTTAACATTATCTTCATGTCTTATATACCATAAGTACCATATAGTAGCCGCTACATGGGCGCATGTTCCTAAAGTCCTGAGTCCTGGCTCCTTTACAGGTACAGAAGCAACCAAGAATGGGTTCATCTTCATTCTCAGTTTCAGGATGGTTTACATACTCTTCATTAAATGAGATCCATAGTTGTTGAATCGTGGCATTTCTGAATCGAGAAAACAGTATAATCCTCATGAAACCTGGTTCATTTGTATTTTGATCCAAGGTAAAATATGCGTTTTCAATCTTCTTTTTGATCATGCTCAATTCTTAGAGAGTGATCCGAATGCTGTATGGTGCCAGATTTTCTTTATAAGTTCCGAATGTTAGATTCCGTAAATAATCTTCTGTAAGTACTGGGAATAGTGGAATATGGCCAGCTATTAATTCAATTCATCGCGCTCTTCAACGCCCCAGGTTGTCTATTTATACTCTTGCAACGTTAAGTTCTTGCGCTTCAATCAGCATTGTTTCAGCTAGGTTTTCATCTGCGTTTGGTGTCGTGATGATTCCGTGACATTAGCTTTGACAATTTAAAAAAAAATCGCTCAAATTCGGGATATGTGATGTTGATACTGTGTAATAAAAAACTTGAAAATACTTTGGAGATGCCCACTCCAAGCCTCTACTACCCATCTGGTTTTGGTTATTAGTTTGCCTCGTCAGTTGAGAATTGGGTCTGATTTGACTATAGTAGTGGTGCATTTTGGTATTCAAACCAATTCTCTGTATCTCGATATCCACGATCTACAATACATAAATCTTGTTGTCGAAACCAGCCTCGCATTCCATTAACATCTCTTTTAAACCCGTTCAGAAGAATTCTGGCACCCTTGTTAGCTGCGTTTGAAAAATAAGGACCTTGAATGTCTAATATATGGCCATCAAGAGCAATTATCATTGGAGTATGAATGATCAAAATCAAAACAGTGAGATAATTGATGGCAATTGTTGATGGAAGCATTTCTAATAATTCTCGAATAATCAGTTTATCTTCGTTGAAAATGAGAATCGATGGGTATGGCGATTTTTTATTATATTCGAACGAAGGCGTGTGCACGTTCGCACGCTTACGCTAACGTACACACCTATATACACATTTACACACACACACCCTCGCACGCTCACGTACATGGGGTCAAACATCTGCTACGTTTACGCCGTTGACCCTGGGTAACAATTTAGATATTCTTGATCAGACAGTTTCAAGTAATTTTCAAGTAATTTGAGTCTTTTTCCATTGGTTTTGTACGGGGTCGTTTTAAGAAATTTAAAAAGATATACAAGACAATGGATCTTTTTCTCTTATACACTGCTGGAAAAAATTAAGTTAACAAAAACATTTAATAAATTTTTTAGTGGTTTTTGAATGACTGCACTCGGTGAAAAATGGTCGCATCGAGATAAAAAAAAAACGTTTTGAGGCTTTAAGTCTCTGTCTAGTTCTTTTGACAAAAAAATTGAGCTATATTTTTGAGGAATCAAAGGAAATACCTCGAGAAAAATTTAAATTTTTATTTTTTGCACTGTCCACGGACTTTTTTTCGAACTCAATCAATATCGTTTGTCTAACAGTTCGGTTTCTATTAAACCCATAGATAGATATTTTCACTTAATTTTTAAACCAATATCCGCAGAAATCTTATTTTTAAAAATTTTACCCCCTTCTGGAAGAAGGATCCTCAAATTGTTTCTGATTTTTTGTAAAATAAAACCTATTTTCGTATTCGTTTGCTTGATTTATATCATAATTATGTACTTACAGGTGATCGTGTTCCATTTGGTGCGGTGATGTAACTGGAACCAAAGAAATAGTCACTTTCTCTGTGGGGTGGTTTACCGTCTCCTGTAGTGAAATCATTTACAAATACCTCCGTTCCAGCTCTGTTTACCGCACAAGTGAAGTAGCTATTGGCTATTGCAGCATTCCTGGCTGCTACGCCCCACAATGGCTCACTGGTTTCGCCTGCCTAAAAATCATTATATTATAATGGGAATTCTAATAGACAGGATACAAGAAAGTAATGTTACCCAAGGATATTAGAGTGATACAGGGTGATGCAGTCATAATGTCATTAATTTTAACCACGTATTAGGAAGGCTTAATAAAGACAGAAAATCGGAAAAAATTTTTTTGCTCGACTTTTAAAAATGAATGAATAAATAACTCCCGCCAAGAGGGCGGCCTTGCCAGATGCCCGGATGCTCGGAAAATTTTGTAACGTAATGTTACGAACAAATCGTCAGCTGAAACGAACAGCATTGCCAAGTTCACATCATAATTTGTGGTTCACATTTACTTAATCCGCTTTAGTATACGGATACATATGTACGAAACCAATAAAATGCAAGTAAATAAAGGATCATGCTGCATTTTATTATAAATAATTTTAATAACTGTGCAATAACTTAGTGCAAAATGTTTTAACAAGCCTGACTTCTCGAAGTCAACTTTCGTTAAAAAAAAATAAATAAAGCAGAAATTTGTAGCCACACGGTATTTTATCAAAAAAAAGTCGGCACACTAAATACCCGAATATACAATATTCACTACACACGGTTACAAAACCATTAATAATTTAAAGCGTTTATTCAAATCTACCACCCTCCCGCATTTTTCCCGCAAAGGAGTTAACATCACACATTTTCAAAAAGTTCAAGCTTTAGAAGCAGCTGATTTCCCCAATCGTCTTGAATTTTGCAATTGGTTCCTAAATCGAAATGTAGCAGAACCTAACTTTATTAACAAAGTGCTCTGGACGGATGAATGCTGTTTTACTCGTGCTGGCATTTTAATCAGGTAAAAAACCTAAGTATTGCTTTCTCAAAAACAATAAGTACCTACCTTGGTTTCACCAAAGTTTAGATTTACACCAAAGTTTACATTTATTGTGTAAACTTTGGTTATACGCAACTGCATATTGAATAATAAATTGAAATACTAAAACTGTATTATTTAAGATAATAAATTATAAAACGTGAAAACGTTAATAATATTAAAAATGATAAATTGTAATAACTGTACATTCGAAAACAATCATCCCTATTCGTTACATTCAATTTGATGACACGATTTTCCTTTGATAAAAGACCGACAACTTTTTGCTCTACTTTGCATGGAATACGATCCTACTACAGTTCGTATTAGTCCAGGAGCCAGATAGGGTTCCGTGTACTAGCTATGAAAATAAACTTTTTGCAGCCATTTAAACATTTAATTTGTTGATAACAATTATACTGACCACTTTCAGGCTTTGCGACCAAGTTTTTTGTATTCAGGAGGTCAAAATACTTTAGAATAAGTTGTTTGCACCCGTGGCACTCTGATTGGCAACGAAACCCTGTCTGGCTCCTAGACTATAGTGCACGTGCCAATTAGAAGGTTACTGACCCCGACACAGGTTGGCCTCGGTCGGAAATATTTACCGAGTTGTTTATTTGTCTCCGTCCGATTGTTTTTTACCCACCCTCTCTTTATAATTGATCTAGTAAGTGTTGGTTTTTATGTCATTATTTCTGTAATGAAATTGAAATGGTAATAAAATGAAATTTAAATTATTTGAATTCTTGGAGTTTTGTAACTTCAATATTAAATTTTAATTAAAGCGAAACAGCTAATTGCTTTGCAGCCATAATAGTCACATTTGGTTAGATGAAAACCCACACACTACTCGTCGGTTTAGCTTTCAGAGGAGATTGGGTGTCAATGTATGGGCAGGAGTATATGGCGATCGTTTAATTGGGCCGCATTTTCTACCTGAACATCTGAATGGGCCGCGTTACTTTTAATTTTCTCTCTAAAGTCAACCGTTTTCAATAAAAAGGCATTTAAATTTGTAAGTGCATAAAAAAATTGTTTAAAAGTTATTTTCAACACTAATAAACGAAATTATGAGCAATTGTTTATTTGCAAGAAATATGCATTTAAAGAAAACAGTGCAATTACAATTTTAAACTTCGTTTATTTAAAAATTTTACCGCAAACAGAATTGAAAACAGAGTAAAAAATACACTTTCTAAAAACCATCTAATCGATCTAACACAATCTAAACAATTTAAAAATTTAAAAAATAACTAACTGTTATTAACCTGGAAAATGGAAAAACATATCCTGTACTCTGCTCATTGATAAAGCAAGAAAAGCATCCAAAAATCATAGATGAAGATTGTTTTACTAGAGCTGGAATATGAAACATTCTCAATGTGTACACATGCCGACGTAAAGCCCCGTGCTTCTAAAACGCGACACCACCAACATGAGTTTAAAATAAACGTTTGGGCTAGAATAACTGATAATAATATCATTGGTGCTGCTATTTTGCTTGATCGGCTTATGGGGAAAATTATTTAAACATCCTTGAAAATAGATTACCAGAATTGCCGGAAGCGTTACCTTTAGCTCAGAGATTGACCGTACGGTATATGCACGACGGAGCTTCCCCTCATTACTCTGTTAATGTTTGAGCCTTTTAAATCAACTCTATCCAAACAGATGAATTGGCAGGAGAAACAACGCTCCAGTAAATTGGCCGCCGCGCTCCCCAGATATGACCCCGATGGATTATTTCTCCTGGGGAATCCTAAAAGAAATGGTTCATCCGACATCCGTGAATAATAGAGATGATCTGTGGCATAGAAATCAACATAGTATAAATGTTATTAGAAATAACCCACAAATCTTACAAAGGGTACAACTTAATTTTTTGCGTAGAATTAATCTCTACATGCATGGTGGTGGACATTTTTAACCTCTTTTAAGACAGGTCAATAATAGTTAGTTATTTTTAGATTTTTAGATCGTTTAGATTGATTAAATTGTTTTTAGAAAGTATGTATTTTACTGTCAATTCTGTTTGCAGTAAAATTGTTAAATAAACGAAATTTAAAATTGTAATTACGCTGTTGCCTTTAAAGATATATTTGCTAATAAACGATTGCCCCTAATTAACCTAATTTGGTTTATCAGTAGAGTTGAAAATAACTTTTAAACACATTTTTTTATGTATTTACAAATTTAAATGCCTTTTTGTTGAAAACGGTTGGCTTTAGAGATATCAGAAAGATTAAGTAGGAAAGTTTATACCTTTTTTAAGCAGAAAAGTTGGGGGAAAAGATTTTTCCAGGACAAAGTGAAATACACCTTGGCATAAAAAAGTTTTGACAGTTTAAATGCGTCCTAATGACCGCTGGTGGCGCCCTCTAGAAGATACAATGAAATCATTGATATATTCGAATTCCTCTTCCCCAAAAAACCCGGATATGAAATTAGCTCAAAGTAGTCGAAATTTATAAGAAGTTTTCACCTTTTTTAGGATCTTTTTTCAAATTGACGCTAACGTTTATATTTTTCGAATTATTTGTAAAAAACCGAACCTCTTTTTTTAATATTTATTTGTTTATAACAACTGTTTTTGTGCCTTAACCATCCCTTAACTCGAATTATCAGTATTTTTCACGATTTTGAATATGTTAACTAGCTTATAAACTTCCTTAAAGAACTTAACCCCAACGGAATGAATATTATTTTTATGATATAAAACATTTTTCTAAGCAACGAGCCAAAATTAAAATTGTTTAACAGACGAAAATAAAAAAAAAATAGAACACAGTTATAGATAGGATTTCACAGGAATGAGTTATATTCCAATTTAGAACAAGTTGTCATAGACGCTTCATAAAGATGAAACCTAACATCTTCATCGATTATGAGATCGCAAATATGCCAACAAAAACTAGATTTACTGTCGGAAAGCATTACATTACTTTCCTTAAAATATTTGAATCAATTCCTTAATAATGACATTAGTTTAAAGAAGAATGTAATAGTTTTGCACATTAGGTTTAGGTAATTTAATATACAGGGTGTATCTAAATAACACCGAAAAAATTCAAGGGGCGATTCTCCGATGAAAATTAATAGGGGTCTTTGGTATAAAATTTTTTGAAAAAACCCTCCCCTGAAAAGTTACGCCCCTCCTAAAATTACAAAAAAAAATTGTTTTTCTTTTTTATCTTCCACGTACATCAAGCTAAAGAAACCAAACTTGGTGAACATTATCTGTCAATAAAACTACACTTTTTGAATTTTTTTCAACCCTGAACTATTTTTGTAAGGGGTTGAAATAATCAACCCCTATGACATTTTTTCTTATAATTTTTTTTTCGATAAAATTTTTTCCTTTTAAAAAATATGTCTAAAAAACCCCATTCATTTACTAACTTTTTGATCTCTTCAAGTTTCTTCGAAAAGTTAAGGATTTATGACAAAAAAAAATAAATGTATTGTAATGTATTTTTAAAAAGATGAGCTGTTTAACGCGAGTGTATTTTGCCGAAAGATCTAGTGGCCTGTTCTTTACAATGGAATCCGTAGAAACAAATGTCAATGTCATTTATTGTCATATTAAATAACATTTTATTAAAAAACACTCAACCAAATAGTTGACCTATGATTCTACTAGGCTAAGAAGTTTGGAACTTAGACTAAAAGTGAACAAATGATGAATAATGTTATAACAGTAACAAAAAATAAAAATCTGTCGGATATTGACAATACAATCTACAAAAAATGTTGAAAATGATTGCCTTCAGCTTCAATACAAGCATCTACTCTTGTTCTCATAGAATTGCGTATGCGTTCAAATATTCCTGGTGAATTTTTTATCGTTTCACACCCTGCTACAATGCGGTTTCGCAAATCATTGATATCTTCAACTGGCCTTGAGTAGATCAAAGATTTCAGATATCCCCATATGCAAAAATCCAAAGGATTAAGGTCAGGGGAGCGGGCTGGCCAATTTACATATCCTCCTCGACCTATCCATCGATTGGCATACACCTCATCCAAGTGACGTCTTGCACGTATACTAAAGTGGGCTGGTGCACCGTCGTGCATAAACCATAAACGTTGCCTAATTTGAATGGGAACTTCTTCAAGAATAATAGGTAATTCTTCGAGAAGATGACAATA